AGACTGTCTATTTTGGTAATTTTCCGGGGGGTACGTTTATTCCGAGGGGTATGTTTATTAGATTTTGAAGATTTGTCCGGGGGGTACGTTTATTCCGGGGGGTATGTTTATTCGGCAGATGAGAGTAGATGGGTATTTCCCTGATCTATCTCCTCCTCAATGTCTTGTGTAAGCTGATTGAATTACTGTGACTCTCACAATTATTGGACCTCTAGATGCTTGAAATATGATATCGTTACATGTAGGTTGTTTCTTTTTTTTTTTTACAGTATGATGAAGAGGAAGCCAAAACATCAGATTTGGAGAACAAGAAAAAACAGCTAGCTGCCCTGGAAGATCAGTGGAAGGTAAGAATATGTGTGTAGACATAGGCACAGTTTGAGTACAACACAGCTTAGTGCAAAATAACTTACAGTTATACAAAAATTCAGCCGTATTGGTAGAAACCATTCTAAAGCAAAGTTGAACTTCAATTTTGAACACAAGAAAATTGGGATTCACCCGAATTTTCAAACTGAGTTGTAACAGTAGCAATAGATAACATTTTTATGGTATCATACTAGTGATAGCCTGTCCTTGTATTTCCAGGCACAGCATCAGCAGCAGTCCTATTCCTTCTGGTACTCCCTGGGGTCATCACTCCTGAACAAGGCTATCACTAACATACAGGTCAGTCCACAGGCTTTTACACGTACACCACTTTATTGTCTTATATGTAGGATGGTTATTTTGTAGTCTTTGTATTTCATATGTGATTTTATGTATTATTCTGTCCCCTTGATAGATCAACATCGAGGATGTCCACATTCGTTACGAGGATGACACCTCCCTTCCCGGTACCACCTTTGCTCTGGGCATCACCATGGACAAGTTCTCACTGTCCAGCACAGATCAGAAATGGGTAACAAAACACTCTCAAACACTGCAGCTAAATATTCTTATATGTAGAGCTATATCTGTGTATTAGCCACTTTACGGTGTAACACAACAGCTTCAATATGTTATATACAGAGAGTCTTTCAAAGTTTTTTTCCATATCCTGTGATTTTGTTAGATTCCTATCTTTGCTCCACAAAAGTAAAACATCTGTGAACTATTAGGAACATCTATTTTACCTTCAACACTCTGAAGTAGCCATTAAGCATTGTGAAAAGTAGATATATAATTATAAATTAATATGCAAATCATCATACCTCAATGTACTGTGTATTTTGTACATTTGGCAATGTTCTATTTGTTAAAGAACTGTATACACTAGAGCAACATAATAAGGACTTTAATTTTAAGCGTGTTCATACTTCATTGTTTGTGATACTAGACCCAGAAGTACCCCACCAAAGAGACGGCTGACGTGGTGCGTAAGCTGGGTAAACTGGAGGGGTTTGCTGTGTACTGGGACACGGAGGCAGAGCCACTGGGGGATGTCACACCTGCACTGTTAGAGGTGGGTTCTCTTGTTTTGTTTGGTATGTTTTGGGTGGTATAATTGTGTAGTTTGTTTATCTAGACAGCTTAACAGTACATGGGTGGAGAAGACTGACAGACAATGGTGGATAAAAAGGTCAGACACAGGAAATTGGAACGAATTTGAAGATCAATAAAACCCAAAATACAGAAAGTCTGAAATCTGAAACCAAATGCCAATAATCAGTTACCAAATGTGCAGTGTGCACAGCATTATTTTCTCATGATACTGTTCCTCACTTTGTGTTAGTCACTTCCAGAATCTTTGAAAATTCTTGTTTTGTGATCCACAGGAAGAGCTACAGAGAGCCAGAACCAAGGCAGAGGCCCCCGACGTCCACAGCTACATCATCTGTCCCGTCAGCGCGGAGGCTCGTGTCTGGCAGAACCACTCGGCCCTCCCGCTGCGTTCCCGCGCCATGCCGCGCTTCCAGTGCGAGATTCAGCTGGACGACCTTCCCATCAGCCTCAACCAGACCCAGTTCAGGTGCATGATGGGATTGCTGCGTGAGTTTGACCGGTACAGCCTGGCACGGAAGTACAGAAAAGGACGGCCTACAGAGCCGGTTAGGGGGAGGTCAGTGAAATATTCAGCTTTTATACTAATGTAATTTTTTTAGTAAAGACTAAACAGATAATAGGAAAAGGATAAATTATAAAACTATAAACTACTGTAAGTCCAGTTATGTTCACGAATGCTTTATTTCACGAGATGGAGCAATTTGGGAGTTCACGAGGTCTCTGACTTCGCGAGTCGGTAATTTTTAACAAGGCGTTACATGTCTGCAAATTTACCGACAGTTTTTTTTCCGCGTGAGGTACATGCGAGGTACACGCGGTTAGAACATGGTTCCGTGGACATGACTCTGTCCAAACTAAAGCCCATCCATGCAAACTGGGTCCTGGGTGCACTGGACAGTATCGCCAACAACATGGGCATCGCCAGGGGATGGGACCGCACAGGGATCTGAGCCGCTGTGAGCCGACGGGCGCGTGAGTAAAAACAAAGCCGCCGCCATCATTTGAACTTTCGACTCGCAAATGTTGCCAACTTCTGCACAGTAGTCCTCGCGTAAATCATCTTTAGTTGTGAAATTTTAGCGCACTGTTCTATAAATTTGCTGTTTGGGAACGTTTAAAACCATGTTGATTCAACAAGTTGTAAAAAGAAATAAAAAAAATCAAGCAAACTTAGACCATTAGACAACGCGCTACGTAAACAGAGGCCGCCATGTTGGATTTCTTGTGATTTGGCGATCGGCTCGGCGGTTACTCGGGCGGTAGATTTTCGTGCAATTCTTCCCTAAAAATACCTGTTAATGTTGTATATGTAGCGTAAATTTTCTTGGGATGTATGGAAATCTTGTTAAATGATTTTTTTTGCGTGTAGCTTTGGTGAGTAACGTTGAACTCGTGTAGTTTGATCTCTCGAGGTATAGACAAAGACCCACGCTATCCCGCTTGGTTCTATTTTTTTTTTTTTTTCGATTTTCCGTACCGTAAATAATTCTGCTTTACGTGGCTTGTACACGACCACAACTTTTTACCGATGTATGTTGTAAAATTCCGTATGTACGATGTTGCACATGTTTACAGCTGTTCACCGCTACGTTATCGCCGAACTAGCGTTCTTGTTAAAACTGATGTTGTCTAGTCGGCTTTGTAAACTTTTACCGTTCTTCGCAAGAAACACTTGTATTACTAGTAACAAAATAATGACTCCGTGAACCATATGCTCATTGAATAAAGTTTATTTGATTCTGAAAAGAAGTCTGCTGTTATTCGTTGAGTCTTGTCATTTACTAGTACTACGTAATGTACTATGTAGAAGTTGTTAGTATAGAGTTGAGACGCACGATGTTTGGGGGAGGGGGGTGGTACGTACGGAATGGGTTCGCGAGGAGGTGAGTTCACGAGAAGAGCGTCTTCGTGAAAACCGTGAACTTAAATATTTCGTAATCAAAAATGGACTTACAGTATAAAATATCGCATGGCTCTGAAAGATGCATCTTATAATTAGTAGCTTACCATGTTAAGAAAAATTTAGCAATGTCAGCGATCATTCCTTGTTACCGCATATGTAAGATGTGTATGTTTGTGTATTTCCTATGTTGTACTCTGCCCACCTCAACTTCAGCTCTGTCACACTACTGTAAGCTGCAAAGTACGTATTTGGAAGCTCGTCAGATTAAACTACTTAAACCTTACTGTGAAATATTGTACCAGCCCCAAAGGGGTTATATAGATTGATGCAGGCTTTAGTCCAACTAAAGAAAAGATAATTGCTGTCAAATTTGACAACTTGAGTCTCTGCTTGTTGCCCAGGTGCCGTGAGTGGTGGCAGTTTGCGATCCGGTGCCACCTGCAGACTGTGCAGCAGCGCCACCACAGAGCGTCCTGGCAGTACGTACTGCAGCGAGCCAGGGACAATGTGCAGTATGTGGACCTGTACAGCGTACATCTCACCACACCACAGACTCTGTCAGAACAGGACAAGGTGGGTTAACGTTAAGTATAAGTTGATATTGTGAACAGTTCTGCAAAAGGTTCAAATCCCTGGCAGACCCCACATAGCCTCCTGGCAGTATATGTACGTACTGCAGCGAGGCAGGGACAACATGCAGTATGTGGACCTGTACAGCGTACATCTCACCACACCACAGACACTTTCTGAACAGGACAAGGTGAGTGAAGTGTAGGTTGATATTTGGAAAAGTTCTGGATTCATCAGTGACTATAACGACAAGTAGTCACTGTAGTATCCATTTCTTTCTTCTGAATCAGTGATAAACAAAAAGTAGTGGACTCTACTTGAAACTCTGACAGTTTTCAAATCTATCCAATTGCTTGAGTGAGTGTTTTTCTGAGTATGTCAATACTTGGATGAACTAATCTTAATCAACATACAGTATTTAGACAATGATAAAAAGAGCTCTTACATGTCTTACAGGCAACTATGGACAGGATAGAGAGCGAGTTGTCCATAGATGAGCTGAGAATCCTGGTGGAGATTGCCATGGAGAGATGTCAGGGGCAGATGGCAGCTCAGGGGCAGACTCAGGTCAGTAAACTTGGGTTTTACAATCATGTTGGCAGAACTTGCTGTACCTGTTTTTTTTTTAGTTTTCATGGTATGTGTAATATTTGTCTTCACATGGTCTAACCTAACAAACTACTGCTCTGTTCATTCTGACTCAAGCACACTGAAATACTAGTACCATATGAGGACCAGCCACTCCTACTTGCTACATAATGTAACCGAACACCATAGGGTGTCTGGTACAGCACCAGTTACCATGTTGACAAACCTCTGGTTCAGGTCATTGACTCTATCACTGTATCAGTTGGGGAAGATGATGAAGAAGAAGAAACAGAGCAAAAACAATTTTTGTTTTTCTGCTGTTAAGGTGAATATAATAAGGATCAAAGATTGAGTGGTGATATGTTTTGTCTCAGCAGGCAGACAGTCAGTCGGCAGCCCCCACCCCTGGGGACGGGCAGCAGCAGGCCTGGGGGTACATGTCATCCTGGTTCCCTGGGTGGGCCCAGTGGTACACCTCCCCCCAGGGACAAACTGTACAGGAGGACATCAGGAAACAAGTCAGCCAGGAGATAGAACCTGTCATAGGTGAGTAGGGGGGTGTTACAGGGGGAGGGGGTGTTACCCGGGTTGTTGCGGGGGTACAGGTGGGCATCAGGAACAAGCAAGCCAGGAGATACAGCCTTTCATACATGCGTGTACCGGCCATTACACATTAGCACATAGAATTGACCCTTCTAGCGAGGGTTTTATTCCAGACCTGCAGCTCTCCTACCAGTACATTTATATATAGTGGACAGATAATTCCTCAAAGATACAAGAGCCAGCAAATGTCATGTGATTCAAAAGCAGACACCACAAGACCACAGCATTCTACATATGTATCTAGCTGTGGAAGTAGATGCTTGAGAGCCACAGAAACTAGACCATACATTTAGAATATTGAGGGGTGAGAAGGGCTATTGCCATTTCCTTTCTTGTGTCCCCAGATGAAGAAGAGATCCTGGCCCTGGTGGTAGACTCTGCAGCAGACAACACCCTACTGAGGAGAGACCTGGTCTTTGCACGCCTCGACTTCTGTCTGAAAAATGGCTCTGTCACACTCCTGCAGGCTGCAAGGTATGGGATTTGAAATGTCTGGAAATAATTTCAAGTTTAGTGATATGGGAGTTGAAATGTCTGGAAATATTTCAAGTTTAGGGATACGGGAGTTGTCTGGGAGTTGTTAGGGAAATGTCTGGCCATATTTTTCATTTTTTGTGTCCTTACCATCTGTTTGTTGCAAATATTAAAAGGCTATTAAAAGAATTTATATTTTTTATCATGACTGTTTCTGGAAAATACTTGCTGGAAATAATTTCTTTTCAAACATAAATGTTTGTTTCTATGTCCCTATGACAAGTTAGTGCAATAGTGTTCAACTTGATTACCAACAGAAGTTACTAAATATACTGGCTTGTGTTAAAATGTGCTGACTTGTAGTTGAAATTCAAAATTTAATTTAAAATTCTCCTTTGAAGTGTTTTTGCCTGGCATTTAGAAGTTATGAAGTGTAATCTGATCCTGAAGAGCCATCCGTTTTTCCACAGTGAGGCTGAACGGTCAAAGGTGAAACCAATCCTGGAGGTGTCCTGCTCTGCGATCAGCCTGGGGCTGGAGCTGCGGCCACGGTTCAGCTCCAACCTGCTGACCATCAGTCTGGGGGCACTCAGGATCCAGGACAGGACTACAGAGGACACAATATATCCCTGTCTACTGGCTCCTCAGTGTACGGTAAGTGGGGAGGTCTATGGGGGTGTTCAGAGGGGGGGGGGCTTTAGTCCATCGGTCACGCTACTACAGGCTGATGACCATCAGTCTTGAAACACTCAGGATCCAGGACAGGACTACAGAGGACACCATATATCCCTGTCTACTGGCACCTCAGTGTACGGTAAGTGGGGAGGTCTATGGGGGTGCTCAGGAAGGGGGGAGGGGGGCGGTTCAGTTCCAACCTGCTGACCATCAGCCTCTGGGCACTCAGGATCCAGGACAAGACTACAGAGGACACCATATTCCCCTGTCTACTGGCACCTCAGTGTACGGTAAGTGGGGAGGCATTGGGGGTGCTCAGGAAGTGGGGATAGTGTTGTAGCACTCAGGATGCCATATTACCTTGCCTACTGGCATCACACTGTATGGTATATTGTAAGTGGGGAGGCATGCCTCATTTGATGGTCAGTGAGTATTTTGATGATCCAAACTTTCTCTTAGGGTATCAAAGCAGCAATTTTTTATGATCAAATTACATGCATTTGAAATGAAAAGGATAGATACACCAGATAACTGTAGTTCCAAAGCATAGTCTTATGTTTACGAGCTTTGAAAATTGTACTGGTTATTTGTATGAATTTTGTTAAGGATATTATTTTGTTGTTTTATCTACAGGAAGGTAACCAGGGTCTCCCCCGACAGTTTGGTGTGTACAGTCGTGCAGGGCCGTCCTCATACCTGCAGCAGACAGTTCCCAAACCCAGCTCTGACGACCCTCTCTTCAACCTGGTGTATGAACAGAAACCTCTCAAGAGCCAAGCTGACCACAGGTAGGGTTTCTATTGGTTTTATGTTTACCAAAGGAAAACATTGTTTTTGCTGCATTTCCTCTTCTTCTCCAAACCAAAAAGGTCAATGACCTAAACCAGGATGTCTGTTGCAAGTGTCGGCCTCCATGTTATGTGGCCAAAGCTTTGACCAAACAACATTGCATGGTTGCCAACATGCAATTTTCTATATGCCATGGGTTTAGGTCCAGACAAACTGAATCTAAACCTCTGGACTTGAATCTGGACCTGAACCTAAATGTGGGTTTAGATACACAGCACTATCTGTATCTGTATAGCAGGTATAACTGCACTTTGGCGTAACACACCAGCTTTGCAGGCACGCGGCGCGGCGGCAGCTAGACTATATTAGACCTGTTACACCCAATCTCTAGACATGTAAAATGAGTCTAAGATTTTAAAGTTCAATTTTGGTCTTCTCCCCAGGTTGGAGGTGACATCCCGTGCCATGGTGATCGTGTACAACTCCACGGCTATGCACAAGATCGCTGAGTTCTTCCGCTCTCCGCACAAGTCCCCCGGCCTGAGGTCACAACCCTCGGAAACACAGCTCACCCAGCTGGCTGCACTGGCCAGGACCAGGTAAGGACATGTGGAGATGGACATGATGCCTAAGGCCTAGGAAAAATGTTGTGTTTCTTGTTTTAGTCCTGAATCCTAGGTATCATAATATTTTTTTCTTTCTTTTTTTTTTAGCAATCTCTAGGGATCCAACTAATAAAACACAGTGTAACAATTTGAAAGTAAAACTTCCATGAGGACACTAATATTTTCAGTGTCAATTTTGGAAAACAGATTGTACAACCTTTCATCACTAAGATCTCAGATCATGGAGCTAAAAAGGTTTATCAGTTTGAAAATGTATGTCGTTTGTTGGGGTCCACACATAAAAAAAGGCTAGGGTCAGTTTACAGTTAGTTTTTTCTAGGGTCAGTCAGGAAACAGGAAACACAAAGCTAGCATATAACAAGTTAGAAGTTATTTTTAAGTATGTTTTGAAAATTCTATTCTATCTATTCTATTGTCCTAGCTTATAGTGTTCTTCAGAGTATTAATTTAAAGTTGATAATTCTGTAACTCAATAAACTCAACTTGATAATTCAGTGTTTAGGCTTCTATATGTTCCTTAAACATTGTAGGTAAATAGTACATGATTGTGTATGTGTCATGTACTTCCAACAACCTTACTCAGATATGAGCAGCTGAAGACACAGACCCAGGCAGAGATCCGTCAGACACTGGACCAACTCCTGGAGGGAGAGAGTCAGGGGAGGTCAGCTGTGTGGGATGTCAGACTGGACATCTCTGCACCACAGTTCCTGGTGCCACAGAGCTTCACTGACAAGGTAGGGAGGGGTTAGAGTGTGTGAGGGGGAGGGGGTAGTAGTGAGGATGTCAGACTGGACATCTCAGCACCATAAGGTACAGAGATGTGTCCAAAAAAAGACATTGTCAAGGATTTCTTTACCTCAAGGTTTAAGTTTTTTTCCTCCTTCAAGTTCATTTGAAAGCTTCACTGTGAAGTCATCAAAGAGGAAATAGGTGTAAAATGTCTTTACCAAGGGAACGTGATTCAAACCCCAAACCTTTAGATTCTACTGGTTAAGTTAACAACTCTCCCAACTGGTGCACCTTCTAGATTTAGACCACCTTGCCACATGGAAGTATGATACGTTTTCTTTCCATGGGTGTAAATTTTTATTACCGTTTGATTCCCAGAATGCCACCATGGTTGTGTTTGACTTTGGTCACCTGAGTTTCTCCAACCACAAGGACAAACCAGATGAGCAGAAGGACAGTATGGAGTCAGACATTGATGAAGGTAACGTTCCAGCCAAGTTTGTAGACTTGGACTTAGAATTAGGGGTTCTTGTGTCTTCCGACTTTATTTTGTCAAGTGTGTAGGACTATACCGGTAGTCAAAATTCCATTTAAATACATGTGTCAGAATATACCTTTAACTCCTGCAAAGTGGCAAGGGTTGTGAAGAATAGTTAATGATTTGGTTGGAATTTTAATCTTTTGCTCTTGATTTTATCAGTGCTGGCACATTAAAGATGTAATTGAGGGAGTCAATGTAACCTTTCAAATTAGCAACCACCTGACAGGTTAAGACCGATGTGAAGTGTCTGTGACTTTCATTTCTTTGACTGGAAAAGAATTTTTATAGGTTAGATCTCAAATAAACGAGAAAATGATTTTATTTCTTTGACTTGAAAGGACTTTTTATAGTTTAAATCTGGAGGAAACAAGAAATATTCATAACAGTAAAACATTGACCTTTATTCCAACGCACAGTTTACAGAGGATCAAATTTTAAGCGACCACTGTTGCCTTCATCAGGATAATTAATGACCAATCACTTCACAACGAAAATTTGATCTCTCTGTAAACAGTGTGGTGGAATAAAGTTCAATGTTTTACTATGATTACTACCAACACAGATGAACTTTCATGATAAAATATTCATAACGTTCCACGGCAGAAGACTTTGTGACGCCGATGTCCAGCCCTGCTGCCACCCCTCCCAGTGAGCCGGTAACACTGGAGAGGTTTGTCAGTGTACAACAGGAGCTGTCAGCTGAGGACCTGAGTGAACAGGCACTGCATGAGAAACTATACGAGAGGTCAGTATCTGGATTTTGGTGTGGGTAACCAGGACTAGAGCTGTGTACCGGTACGCAGTACCGATACTGTACCGGAAAAATTGATTAGGTACAGGTCCAAAATACCTAATCCCTCAGTACCGGTACTGTACCTAAACAATTTCACACCAATTTTATGCCTATTTGTGACCTCAAATGTTTAAATAGCTGGTTAACAATGGGTGCCTGTGTAAGGACAGTGTGTTCATGAAAACAAACACATCTTAGTTTTGCCTATATTTTATCTGAGCATTCGCCATAAACAAAGAATAAACCTTAACTATCAAGTTTATTTATGTTTTTTTGTTATTGAAGGAGTTCAGAAGAGCATATAAATTGGTCGAATTGTTCAGGTACAGGTTCAGGTCCGGACCTGTACCTAAACCTGTGTACCTGTACCTGTACCTGTACCTAAAATTTGTTTAGGTACACAGCTCTAACCAGGACCCAAAAACTTTTTTTTTCTGCATACCTACACAGGTGCAGGTAGCATTGGAAAAACATGTAACCTGCACCACTCCAACTAGTAGACTAAAAGTAGATTTTATGGGGTATGCATCAAACTAGAATTAGAAAGTGTTTGAATTCTTTATTTTGCAGCTGGTAACAAACAGTACAGAATACTAAAATCCACAAACTAACATGTACCCAGTACAAGAGGCAGGTTAATGCATTGCAGGTAGACCGGTAATACCTGCACAACTCAATACATTTGACCAATGAGAGAGTGGTTGCATGTGCATGAAATATTTCCAATTTTATTTTTATGTTCTCATTTTGCATTTCTACATTTTGACAAAGGTGTGCAGGGTTTGGACATTGACAGGATTCTCCTTTCTCCAGGTACAAGGTGGGCTTCTCGGACCTCCAGGTGATGGTTGTGAAGGGGAGGGACAACTGGCGCCACGCCCACTCTAAGGGCACCTCCCACATGCACGTCATCGACAGGTTCGTTCCAATCTTTGTTTGTTTGTTTGTTTGTCTCAACCTAAATGTTTACTCATGAAAAGCTCAAATCAGCCTGCAGGCTGCTAATAATTTCATGAGGTGATGAAAGAAGAGGTAGAACAAGAGTGAGAGCTGGTATAGCGTAATGTATGGTTCGTTTCCGTTTGTTTTGGTCATTTCTGATTTGTGTTCCCTGTACAGGTTCAGCATCAGCCTGCGTATGGAGAGGAGGCTGGTGTACACGTCTGACCCACAGTGGCCCAATGTCACGCTGGCTGGGAACCTGCCCAAGCTGGGGCTGCATGTTAGTGAACAGAAGGTACACCTTCAAAATCAAGAGATGTTTTTTGTCATTTGTCATTAATTTTGTTTTTAAAACATTTTTATATGTTATACAGTGAGCTTTTAAAAGACTGAAGTGAAAGAAAATACAAGAATGTCATAATATAATAGAGCATTACATTGTATTTGGCATACATGTACAAGCAAAATGTAGGAAGATCATCAAATGTACTTTAGTCAGACCAAGGTCAGACTTGACTTTAGCCCAAATGACAGAGTGACTGCAATTTTCCTGGTTTGAATGAAAGAAATGGGGAGAGATCACAGACATGTATAACTTTATACCAACATCATCTGACCTTTAGCCAGGCCACCTGACCTTGACCCACATGATTGACCCTTCACCTTTGCCCTATGACAGGTCCATGCTCTGCTGGCCTGTATGAAAGCCCTGGGAGGAGATGAGCCCAGCACACCTTCACCTGACCTTGACCCCGTTGACCTGCCCTCTGACATGAGCACGGCCAGCACCCTTCAGGCGACCCTTGACCTGTCCAGGTCACCCAGTAAGGTGGAGAAGACAGGCAGCGAGGTCATGAGAGAAATCCTGGAGGAGTCTCGTCTGCTGCTGACGGAGTTCTCAGTGGACTCCATGAGTGTGGATGTGCAGAGTAGAAGTGAGTTGTACTATTCTAAAGCTAATCTGACAGGATATTTGTTACAGAGTGGGAAATATCAAGTTGAATGCACCACATGATTTGCATACTAGGCATCCACATGTACTGTTACAGTAGATTTTGATGTGGGCTACTATTACATTTTTTTGTACACATACATGCAGTGGATGCCGAATGTTATACACAGTATAGTACTGCAATATATATGTATGCAACAGTCATAATTGCTGTGGCACATGGTTTCTGTGTCTTGTGATCTCTCTCTCTTTAAGCTCAAAATTACTACCAAAAAGCAGCATGTTCTCAAGCCCCCTATCCTTCCACAACAAAACTGCAGGTCAAGCCTCTGTACCATCCTCCATTACGAAGTGCCCATATGACAATTTGTAGGTATGACGCATTGTACTGTGTAAAAATCCATGTTCACTTCCCCAGGCCGTAGTGTAGCAGAGTTGCAGGTGTCGTCAGTACAAGCCTGCATCACTAAGCGCCCGTACGACACCTCTATGACTCTAACTGTACACAGTCTGCTGCTGGTTGACGCTCTGCAGACATTTGGGCCGGACTTTGAGCTTCTTGTTGCATCTCACAAGTGAGTCCACTGAGAATATAAACCCTATGCATACAGTCAATATTTACAACCATGGTAATGATCCGCGGTAGGGTTGGAACCAAGGGTTGTAACCTGGACCATTTTTCAGTCAAACCTGTATAATATTATACAGTCATGTCAAGGCCACCTGGCCAATGTAACATCTTTTTGTTGGTCCCTTAGATAGTTTTCCCCATTGACACAACTTATAAGATCCCTGTCTGTAGTGACCACCTGTCCACATAGACCAGATTTTATCTGTTTTCAAGCCTGAAAAACTCCTGAATGTTTGATACCAATCTTAAGAAATGAATGGCGCCTTTGTGTGTTTGTAAGTTTTGTTTATAACTTCCACAGAGACCTGTGTATGGATGTCCATGGTGGGTCTTTGGTGGACTCTGACCATGCCTCATCCCCACGTAACAGTCAGGACACCACGTCTGACCGAGCCAGCTCCCCCGCAACTCTCGCTGACAGAACAACGTCCCCACCCCCGGCTAGTCTGGGAACCAGCCCACCAAATCTGACCTCTGACTCGCCCTTTGACCTCTCGACCTCTGTCCTGTCGGACACCGACGCCCTCATCACCATGGAGTTTACCCAGATCAGGTGGATTTACATAATTTATATTGTATACTTATGATAGGTCAATATTTATCATTGATATCATAAGATTTTTTTCCACTTAGTAAACGAGTCTTTGTCATGTTCTTTGTCTGTACTGGTAATTTTAACCAATTTAGTATGTTAGACTATCTTGTTAATGTGCTACATATCGTATAACCTTCTGTTAAATGTACTCACCCATTGGGCTGGCAAATGCTCTTTGAATTAAACCCTTTGTTATTATTATGATCAGTCCGGACTGTCCCACCCTGGTGAACGGAAATGGGGGTCCGCGGCAGATTGCGTCCCTGCAGTTCAACACACTGGATGTGATCGCTAACCCAGAGACGGTCATGGAACTACTGGGCTTCTTCCAGAGAGTCATGCCAAAGGACAGGGCAGCAGACACTAAGGTAAAGGCCACATCAATAGTCAATTCCAAAAGTATTATATATTGACTCACAGTATAACATTTGAGAGGTAGTAAAATCTTACAGTTATCAAGCAAACAAAAAAAGTCCTGCTGACTATGAACTTCTTCCTGCCGACTCTGAGCCAGCTGCTGACTTTGAGCCAGCTTCTTCTTACTGACTCCGCGGTACTGTAAACAAGAACTTTGTGAAGATATAATGTTCTTGTGAAAGTATTATAAGGAATATCTCTAACTTCCTATATTAATCTCATCAGATCCCAGAAGATGAGGTGTGGTCAGAAGACTCCGTCCCTCAGAGTGACCTGTTGTCCAGTAAGACCCAGATCACAGCTGACTTCAACAGGCTGAACGTCCTGGTACTGAGGGCTGTGCCATCTGGGCACAGGAACGTCGGTTATAAGGTACTAGTAGGGAGATCAAACTGGTCTACAAGGTTCAGGGTTTGAATCCCAGCCTAACTGTAGAGGGCAGTCCACCACATAGAATGGCAGCCTTTTTATTTGGTACATTTGTAGTTGTAAGCCACTACCCTTGCATTTTAGAATCATTTCTTGGGCAACTCTAATGGTCCATCCAGCATCTATTTTAATCATTTATTTAAAAATAACTACTAACAGTATATACAATAATATTTCAGGTAAGTTGTAACCATAAGATTACAAGCATGAATGAATGAAACATTTTTCCATGAATACTTAAGAATCAATTTAAAAGTGATACGGTACTGCTATGAGTAGATTGCATCTTTTTTGGTTTGATATTCCATGTCAAAATTTACCCAAATCGCCCTATTGGTTGATGTCAGGTTGCCACAGCGACCATGAGTGGTGCCCACGTGATGACGACCCTGGGAGGGGAGAAGGAGATGGAGGTGGAGGGGTCGCTGGACGGGCTGCAGTTCCTGGACCTGACACCAGAGGGTGCCAGGCACAAGAAGGTCTTCACCATGGGTCATGACCCCACCTCCCTGCAGGCCAGCCTGCCTGACAGAGGTTTGTGCAGTCAACAAGTTCACCCCTTAAGAGATTCTACATGTACTAAGTAAAGCAGAAGTGGGCCGAACGTACTGTGCCCGTGCAAAACTTGGATTTTTCTTGTTCTTTGTTGGATGTTTTGTCAAGGTTGCATTAGTGTTTTGCCCGTTGCAGACAATATCTTTTCTGGCACAATGTTAGTAAACTACAGATGGAATGTCAAGCCTTTTAGTTGCTTTCTGTAGATAGGACTACAGTCTGTAAAGTTATTACCTCAAAAAATTTTGTTTACCATTAGCAGTTAACCTTTCCTGTGTCACAGTCTCTGTTCCTATAAAAAAGTAACTTTGAAATCATTGATTTTTTTATTTGGTTTCATGCATGGTGCATCATTTTCAAAAAGGACATTTGCTTTTTGTTGTAATATATTAGGACAAGAGATCATGTTGGAAAATGCCTCATTCATCACTGCCTGTGGCTCTTCTGTGTTCCAAGATTTCACCACCAACAAGCCCAAAGCCCTGCACTTCACCCTGACCCCCTCTGACCCTCAACCCCTGACCTCTCCCCTCTCCACTTCGACCCCTGGCCCCTCGGTGCTGCCGGAGCACCTGCCAGCTGACAACAGCTCCCTGCGGCTGCAGCTGAGACTAGCATCTGCCTGCTACACACATTCTCCAAGGTAAGGGATTCTCTAAATAATGATATACAAATGACAGACTCAACTTAAAGTAAGTTAGTACTTACTTTTCCTTTCTTTGATCCTGAAGACATTCTTAACAATGCTATCTGAATATTAGCATATTTTTCACTAGAAATTTTTCTTTTGCTATGGGACAACTGGATGAATGAATAAGGAAGATAGGACCTTTGTTGTACATGTACATTAATGCCCTTACAAACCAAGACAGGCTGATAAACAGAAGTAAGTTTACTGTGATATTACAAAATTGTGATATCTTTACTACTGGTACTTCTATACAATGTCATATGTAACTACTATGTACAGGTTCAACTTCCTCTCACTTCTTGAGACAGTTGTAGATGTATGAACATTCATTATGGACCTTATAGATGTAATTATACATTGTACATGTTTTGTGTATCTTTATCAAAATTAAAGAGGATACATGCTCCCACCGTTGAGTCCTTCCGGGCCAGGCTAGAGGCCTGCCCGCCTTAGACCAAGGCCTCCCCCCCCTAAAGTGCCCCAACAGGGGCTATATGGGGGTGTTGCCGGGGCTTGTTTAACATCTTAGAGCCCCGGCAAAGATGAAGATGAAGACATGTACTATATCATATTCTGAATATCACATCTCCAGACTGCTGCAGGACCTGAGCCTGTGTGCTGACCAGTTCACCCAGTACACGGCCACCTGGGCCACGTCCCTGCGCTCGGCCGCCAGCGAGATGGCGCTGAGTTTTGTGAAGAAGTCCGACCCCCTCAGCATGTCTGTGGGACCCACCGGCCTGTGGGACTCGTCCAGACGCCTGAGCCGGGCTGGGAGCTACCGCGGGCTGAACAGGGCCGACAGTCTGCAGCAGATTAGCAGGGACAACAGGCCGGGGTAGGGACACACACAGGTCCAAATAGTGGGTGCATATGCACCTTTGTGCACTTAAAATTGGAGCTGTGCACCTCATTTTGACTGTAGGTGCACTGTTGCACCTAAAAATGTTTGTAAGTTACCTACTGTAACAGTAAAAGTACAATACACTGTATTTCCAACAATGGTGGGTCAAGAAAATGATAAAAAAACCTTCAATTTATTTCTTGTTTGAAATGGAAAAGTTACAGATTAAGTTCACAAGAGGAGCAGTAATGTTGGTAATTTGGCATTGCTAACATTTTACTTTTAATTAGTTCTATGTGGTGCAACCAAAATATATTTGGTGCACCTATTTCTTTTTAGTTTATGTGCACCAGTGCACCTAATTAGAAACATGAATTTCAACCACTGTAGATAACAGGGAATTCTTTACTGCAGAGGTACAATGTAATTTGTAGGTGATCATTGTATTTGAGAAATTCATTGGTACTGGTTGTTTAGTGTCATAGACCAAAGTAATTTTTAACTGCCTTTGCCCCTCAGGTTACTGAAGTTTGAGAGCCTGGATGTGCTGGAGGATCTGATGGGGGAGGCAGAGACACCAGCCAGGAGGCTGGAGCTGGACATTGTCCTGCAAACCCCCATAGTGGTCCTCCCCAGGAGCCAGCACAGTCAGGACAAGATGGTCGCACATCTCGGACAGATTTCCATACACAACACCAGGTTAGGGCATAAGAATAGTCTTTTTTTTCATATACTGTAGTCAGAAAAAATTCTAATCAAAATTTTTCCAGGATCTGAGAAAGGACTAATACTATACACCAGTCCTGTACAGTGTCATGTATTCCAAGCTGAAGGCCAGAAATTTTATTAATCTTCGTTTTCAAAATTATGACAGCAGCACATTGTACATTATGTGCAACTACTCCAAATCCAGGCATTTTTGTAGTGTTCTACATAGGGATAGACATACTCATTTCAATTTGTGCTTGTGAATTGCCTCTAAATTTAAGATTGTTCCTGCTGCATTACCTTATATACATTGTAGCCAATACAAAATTGGTGCCAAATGGCTACCTTTGCAGACTGCAGGTTATGTAAATGTGGGTATTTTGACCCTTGTAGGTCGTTGTTACCTGACCTGTCCACTCCAGCAAAGGTTGACAGCGGTGCAGAACACTTCCATGTGGAGATCCGAGACATGAACATGTACTCCTTCAACGGCGAACATCAGAACCGCTCTCGTACCAGCAGTAGTACCAGTATTAACCTCTCCAGCTTACAGGTACGTTAGAAAATACCATGAACAGCCCCCAGTTTACAATGCTGAACTTCCAGTTTAATTCCGGACTAATTCCATATCTCAGCAACCTTACATCTAGATGGGCTAATATTGTAAACTATAGGTTACTAAAGAATGTAAGAAATGTATGTTGCAGCCATTGAGGACCCCTTGGATATTATCCAAACTGCAATATTCTGGAACTGCAGCCAGAATTCTGGGAACTGGAGCCAGAATTCTGCTGAATTGGGTTAATCCCCAAGGGGTCCTCGATGGCTGCTACATACATGTATTTCTTACATTATTTTTACTCATAGTTTACAATATCAGCCCATCTAGATGTGATAAAAATTGTCTGCAATGTTTCAAATTTCGTTTTTTTTTATTTCATTTCAGGAACCAAGTATCTCAGATAGCAGCCAGTACATGATGACAGACTGTGGCACCCCCATCCTACACAACACCACCCTGCAGTTAACCCTGGTGAAAGGTACCGTCCCGCGACCAGGAACCGATGGTGTGGACACATCAAACCAAGCGGCGCCAACCGCCGCGGACACCACGCTAACCGACGATGACCAGAACCCGTGTCTTAAGGTATCAGGGAAGCTGGTCTCCCCTCTTAAACTGGTCCTATCCAAAAGTGTTTACGAGCAAGTCATGGAAACTGTCGACAATCTCACAGCAAACAACACGTCAGGCAAACCAGGAGAGACGCGGTCAGAAGAAAAGACCCAAGCAGAGGTGGTAAAGGAAGAGGGGCAGACGACATCCGTGTCAGCTCTGAAACTTGAAGAGCCACTGCTGAGGGACAGAGTTGGGTCTGCAGCTGAGGAGAGTGAGGAGGTAGACCCGCCGATGGTTGTACACGGCAGCTTTGACATGCCCGAACTCACTGTGCAGCTGAGTGGAGACTTGAGCGAGGGTGAACAAGGGTTGGTGGACTTGTCCTTCCAGAACCTTAAAGCGACATACGTGAAAGACAACCCACACACGACGTCGATCAAGATCAGTCTGCGAGGGCTCCTGATGGAGGATTTGCTTCAGCCAGCAGACTCGAAACATCGGCAATTAATGGTGTCGTACCCAAAAAGAAGGACTAAGACTCAGAGTGTAAGCAGAGGACAGCCTGTGTACATATCCACGTCCCTTCCCACGCACCCACACTTGTTAGAACACGTCCACATGCCCTCTTCCCTCCCCGCCACACTAGATTCGAACCTGCGAGAGTACGTGGAAGTACCGTCCTACCCAGCCACGCCGCCTCCGTCTCCACAACGCACGCGGTCGCTGGAAGACGTGACGGAGGAAGAGACGGAAGAGTCGCTGGTGTACATCAACATCCTGCTGGTGGATAAGAACTCGCCAGAGTTTGCCACCAAGTACAAAAGAGTGAGTTTTGTGTATACTTAGTCTATGTGACACTAACTTTGTTTTAAATACATGTCAACATTTCTAACATAGAACAGTTTTGCTTTGTCGATCACAGATTTGTTTTGCAGGGTAAGAATGTGCAATAACATTGGTCTTTCAAATTTGACTCCAAAATGTTAAAAGAATAATTATCTAAAATCAGTGTTAACTAGAAAGGTAGCCTACAAACATATTCATATATAATATGGTGACCAGCCTGCCAACTTGCTATTATGTAACAGCATGTCATGTCAGTGTGCTTCAGCACCAGAAGCCTTGGTGACAGACGCGTGGTCCTGGTCATTGACCTTATTTTTTGGAGAAGTAAAAAACAGAGCAAAAATGTTTGCAAAAGGTAAACATAATTTGTTGTTTCAGGTGAACCGTTTTGTTGACGTGGACTTCAGCTGCCTGGACACGACCATCAACCTGCAGACCTGGGTGGTTCTGCTGGACTTCTTCGGCATCGGGAGTCCCAAGGAGCCGGCACCCAGTCCTACTGCTGCTGGGCCGGGGGAACCAGAGACGCCTGAGGGGAGTGCAGGTTAGGAACTACTAACTGTATTGGGAGATCAGGCCTGGAAATACTTTTTTCTGCATACCTGCACTGGCGTACATTTCTGCATACCTACACTGGCGTAACATTGAAAAATACCTGCACCACTCAGATTTTAGGAAGTATGGATTACACTAAACTGTTCTTCAGAAACCATTGGCATTATTGAATTTTACACTAAGTTTTAATACTTCTTTAATCGGTGCAATGACCAAGTGGGTAGAGTGTTTGACTTGCGTTTGGTAGGTACATGTGTAGTGAGTCATACCAAAGACTTTAAAAATTGTACTGCTTTATCTGCTTAGCACTCAGCATATGGGAAAGAGTAAGCAGTTACGACTACCAGTGGACCAGCTTCCTGCTGTAGTGATTGCACAACTGTGTGGCCCAGGGCTATTGAAAACAAAGATGGGCACCATAGATGGGAGGAGGAACTTTAACTTTAACTTTGACTAAATTCTTCTTTAAACTCTTTGAAGATGAGCACCATAGGTGGGAGGAGGAACTTTGACTTTGACTAACTTCTTCTTTAAACTCTTCCCACAGCCTCTCCAGATGCACCAGAACAGGTCAACACAGAGGTAGAGGTGAAAGTCCGCTCCCTGAGCCTTCTTCTTAACAAGCCGGAGTACGAGCTTGCCAAGGCGAACGTTGCTCAGCTGTCGGCGCGCGTGTCGCTGGTGGACGGGAACATGGCGGTGATGGGGAACCTGGGGAGCATGTCCGTGCTGGACCTGACGCCGCACGGCGCGCTGTACCGCGAACGGTTCGTCACCAGCGGGAAGGAGGCTCTGGACTTCAACATCTTCAAGTAAGGAGAACGCTGTTGGTACATGCTTCAGAATCTCATTTTGTTTGTATGACACAAGAAACAAGACATGTGTATTTTCTGTTGTCCATGATGATGACACATGATGATTTGAAAATGGAAAAAATTCTCCGCAGATTTTTACCATATTCTGCATCCTTCGTAAAATGGGTCACGGAGGTTAAGCTTATTTTGTAGCATCAATAATTTTCCTTTCCAATGAAATACGGAAGAAAAGTGTATTTAGCACTACAGTCACTTTTTTGTTTCAAACAGCATGGCAAATCTTGATCAGTCTTAAACCTTAGAGTCAAGATATAGATTTGGCACAAAAAAACTGAAGTTTGAAACCTATGTATATGTTGGATACTTAGGTACATTTACAAACTTTAAGATAATCATAAAGGACATGTTCTCCCTACTTGTGCCCAGATACGGCCTCCCAGACCCACACCTTCAGCGGGAGTACGACATCCGTGTGCGTCTGCGGATGTCGTCGGTGAGGTACGTGCTGACTCAGCGTTTCCAGGCCGAGACCGTGGCGTTCTGTCAACACTTCAAACATCTGCAGGAACTACTGGGCACCATGAGGGCCGCCACGTCTGGCCAGAAGGTACGGGGCTTGTGTGTTTTTCTGTTTGTTTGTGTTATAATCCATAGCTGTTTGTGTTGTGTTGTTTGCAATTAGCCCTTGGCATGTACAAAATGTATTTGCAATAACTTCGGCACTGATCGTAGAAGTCTTCCCTATCCAGGTAAACGAGGCGCCGGGTCACGCAGCACGTATCCTGATGGACATCTCGGCCGGAGCGCCCGTCATCCTGTTCCCCGAGAGCTCCCGTTCCTCCAACATCCTGGTCATGAACCTGGGACATCTCACCGTCTTCAACCGCTTCCTGTTTGCCGGTGACAGGGGAACAATAGAGGGGGACAAGCAGAGGGGTAAGGGTCTGTCATGTCTGTATAATGTCGTTACAGTAAAGCTGTGTATTTTTGGTTTATGAGGAGGGTGTTCCTCCAACATTCTGGTCATGAACCTGGGACATCTCACCGTCTTCAACCGCTTCCTGTTTGCGGGCGACAGGGGAACCATAGAGGGGGACAAGCAGAGGGGTAAGTACTGTGGCCAACAGGTACACGAGCAAAACATTACTGTGATGTTGGGAGGCTTGACCTTGAATCATCATCTTTGTGAAGATTTTCTTGCCTTTGTTGTCTGCTGCAAGCAAGGTGGATATGTTTGTCTCAAATATTGCTTGGATTAAGGGTATATGGAGGGGAGGACTAAGGGCTCCATTATAGCCATTATAACAATTTCTATGTACAGTCAACCTGTATATCCTACAGACATTTATAGCAGTCACTTAATGTTCATGTTTGTATAACATACCCAATATACATGTAACCCAGGAACATCAAAATTTCTATTATGAATGGCCAATCTTTCCTTTGACCTTATAAAATAGATGCTGCCCAACAGCCAAGCGAAGACCCCTCCCGCAATGCATCACAGGGCAGCTCGGTGGTCTACACCGTCCAAGATGGCCTGCTGGGAACACTAAGCCCCCCTGAGGTGTCCCCTGCACACAGGTGCCTGTTAGACTGTATGGAAGTGGAGCTGCTGCAGATGGACCTGTACTCGGCCGAGAGGGTGGACTGGTCAGGCACTGGTGCAGAGGACACCCTCATGTTTCCATCATTTATGGTGGAGAGGAAGGTGAGGATTTCAGAATTCCTACCATAATGTCACAAAATCTGCGCTGTGATATAGTGTACATAGTACATTAATTTTTATACCATAATGATTATGATACTTCAACGCCCTTCCAGTCCCTCAGATAAAATGAAAAACAAAAAAATTAGTATTGATGATGATGTATGAGGTATTTATTGTTTCTTTGAGGTACTGTAGATTGAAACACAAAGTTAACACATGGACAAGGCAAAACACATAACTTCACTCTCTTGGGATGAACTGTAGAAAAACTGTGTGCTCTTGTCTCTATAGAGGGTTATGAAAGAAGGAATACACTTCAGTTACTGTTTGCGGCTAAAGTTTTGAGGTCGCACCATCATCTTGGTGGCCTTCAGTGAGTAGTAGGGACCTTTCCAATGACCCCAGAAAACACCAAACCCTGTGTCAGTGCCTTGATAGTCCTCTGGCTGGAAGTAGGGACCATTCAGAGCAGAATCACCACAACTGTTATACCACCAGCCGCCTGATAACCACTGAGCACACTGACCACTACTCCACACATCATTGTCCACATCTCTAGCACTGAATTTCCTACCATTGTGGATCAACATAGAGTCTCCAGCATCCCCACTGTACCCCCCAATGTTCAGTGTATAACCTGTTCTCTCATCTCCAATGCTGAATGTACCATATTTAGCATGAGCAAAGTTCCCCTCCCAATCTTCTAACTCCACATACAACTCATAGCTATTCTGGGATGTCAGGTTGAGAATTTTATCCAGTCCAAGCCAGTGTTCCCCCTCGACCCTCCCAAACCCATTTTTGTAATTTGACCACCGCCTGTCAAAGTTGAGTTTCCCTTCAAACCTCCTCTGTATGACAGTCCAGCCCCCACCATCTGTAGTCATGTCGCAATAGACGTCAAAGTGGTCGGTGGAAGACTCGGGTTTGATGGGGAAGACTCCATCCTGCACTGCATTGGTGAAGTATAGAACAGTGTAGAGATCTGCACAGTCCTCGAAGCTAGCAGCGCCAGGGGGAGGGGGGTCGTTCCTCTGGCCAACATTCACAGGGTGGTTCAAACTTTTATCTGTAATAATACGATACAATACAAGTCAAGATTCGTTTTACTTGTATTGATTGACAAGAAATGCAAAACATGTGTTATATAATGCTTGTACTACATGTAGTATAATAATCATATAGTGATACATACTCCAAATATACTCACATTGTATACTTTTAATGTTGCATTCTTTGTCAATGAGTACTTTGAGTACTTTTAAAGTCTTAAGTATACATTAAAATGGACATATCTATGATACCTTGAGCCACTCGTGGTTGAGGAATCTCAGCAGAAAACGTGACGCTGCCAGCAGCAAGCAAGATAACAGTCACCAGACTGAAGGTCAGGCCAGTCTGAAAAAATATATAACCAAGGGTGATGACTTAGTGTATAAACCCCTAAACTTTCTGCTTGTTTCTTTAATTTTGTCCTAAAACTAAAAGGGCTAGAGAGCTGTACTTGAGGTGTAGGGTTGAACTTGAACTACAATGTAGTTGGCATGTAAAGCCAAAAAATCTGCTAGACCTAGATTTTCCCTAACAGGATTATACGCCACCATAAAAAGTTTGTTAAAACAATCCCCCAAACTTCTTCATTCCCATTGTTAATCTGTCTATAATAGTGAGTGAACTCCCAGTCTTTTTAAAGACTAAATTCTTATTTGAAGAAGTGGGGAGTAAGAACTTACCTTAACCATGGTGGCATGTAAGACTCTGTGATCTTTGTTCACACCAGAATGAGCTCCCTTGTTTCCTCTGACCAGAAGGCAAACCTCTGGCTTTTTAACCGTTTTTCCCATCTTATCAGCTGGGAAAATCAGCTGATGGTATGGTATGTAACATCTGGACAATGGATGGTGGAAACTTCATGTAGAAAACATGTTTCAAAGTTTGGGGTTCATGCCTGAAGTTTTGACATTAGCTTGCACATTTGCCAAAACTTTTCAATTAGAATAAGTTAAGTTACAGTAATTAATCTCTTGTTTTACTGTGCAAATGTCACCAGTGCATGTTCGCTTAAAACTTGACAAACAGACATGCAAAGTACATGTATGCCGTATTCTATAAAGCAATAAATTAAATATATTATATTTTTGTACCAGGTAAGAAATTTACAACCTTCTTTAATTTGAAATTTTAAGTCCTAGATTACTTCCCAACCAACATGCTAGAATGATGTAGCGGGTATTTTAAAGTTATGCTGACCACAAATATCTGGAAAGTTTAACATACAATGTAGATACACACACACAGACACACACAAACCAAAAACAATACAATGTACCTCCATTTTTCATGGAGGTAATCAACCTATAGCTACATGTACATGTCTAACTGACTTGTGGTGGTTTTAATCATCTTTGTATCTGTCAGTGAGAAAATAATGCATTTTCTAGTGTTTGGTACCAGGCACAACTGTTCTTGTAGTGCACTCTGTGTAACAATTGTGTAATCACGAAGATGCATGAAGTCCTCTACTCTATATTGTAGTTTTTGGTTTGTTTGTTTGTTTGTTTTGTGTGTGTCTGTGTGTGTGTATCTACATTGTATGTTTCCAGATATTTGTGGTCAGCATAACTTTAAAATACACACTTCATCATTCTAGCATGTTGGTTGGGAAGTAATCTAAGATTAATATTTCAAATTAAAGAAGGTTGTAAATTTCTTAACCTGGTACAAAAATATAATTGCTTTATGGAATACGACATACATGTACTTTGCATGCCAGTAAGATGTCTGTTTGTCAAGTCCCCTCTATGTTTCAATAAAACCATTGGACAATGCTATGACTGTTAATATTCAGATAACCTACTAGACCACTTCCAGTTAAGTTTGAGGCTATTTTCCAATGACTGTTGTATATAAAAGCTGAGCACAAATATCCAGAAACACAGACACACACACACACACACAGACCAGAAAAATTACCAGGTCCTCCATTTTTCATGTCATGTCATACTGACTTGTGGTGGTTTTAATGATCAAATTCCATCATCGTCAGTAAGGAATACATTCTATAGACTACAGTGTTATACATATAGTCTATGAAAGAAGGATCCGCACTTCAGTTACAGATTGCGGACAAAGTTTTGAGGTCGCACCATCATCTTGGTGGCCTTCAGTACATAGTTCCAACCTTTCCAGCGCTGCCAGAAAATGCCATACCCTGTGTCAGAGGAGCCATGATATTCCTCTGGCTGGAAGTAGGGACCATTCAGGACAGTTATAGCACAACGTTTGTACCACCAGCCAGCTGAATCTTTCTGAGCACAATGCCAACTACCTGACCTATCATTGTCCTTATTCCTAGCACTGAATTTCATACCGTTATGGTATTCCATAGAGTCTCCAGCATCCCCACTGTACCCCCCAATGGTCAGTGTATAATCTGTACTCTCATCCCCAACGCTGAACGTATCATATTTAGCATGGGCAACATTCCCTTCCCAATCCTCCAACTCCACATACAACTCATAGCTATTCTGGGATGTCAGGTTGCTAATCTTATCCAGTCCGAGCCAGAGTTCCCCCTCGACCCTCCCAAACCCGTTTTGGTAGTCCACCCAGTTTCTATCGAAGTTGAGTTTCCCTTCAAACCTCCTCTGTATGACAGTCCAGCCCCCACCATCTGTAGTCATGTCACAGTAGACGTCAAACTGGTCGGTGGAAGACTCAGGTTTGATGAACAGGAGTACGTCCTGCACCGTGTCGGCCGAGAAGAGCTGAGGGTAGAGGTCAGCACAGTCCTTGTAGCCAATGTTGGGATCTACACAGTCACAGTGCCTCATGTCGTCAACATTCACTGGGTGGTTCAGAGTTTCATCTGTGAAATATATTCAGTGTACAATTAGGCCTAGGGAAAAAAATGTTGTGTTTTCTGTTTCGTCCTGAAAAAACAAAGTAACTGTTGTAGAACTTGCATCAGCACACTTACAAAGTAAACGTACATTGTATACTTTCAATGCCAATGTTTGAAAAAAGATTGTACAACGTTTCATCACTAAGGTGTCAGATCATGGAACTACAAATGGTTGAATTGTCTCGAAAAATTTAATATATATAGATTTTGATTCTAATAAATGCAGGGGTCTACCCAAAAAAAGGCTAGGGTCGGCAGTTTTTTCTAGGTTCGGTGGGAAAACAGGAAACACAACATTTTTTTTCCTAGGCCTTACTGATTGTTATCTGGACATGTACAATGTACCTGTACGTACCTAAAAATGTTTTCATGAAAGGCACATCACCCTACTTGGGATTTCCAGGTGTCAATGACATTCTTGAGAAGGCCTTGATAACTTGATGGAGTTTTTTTATTGCCCAAGGTATGACTGGTTTATTGAGATTCTAAAAGTTACAGTTTTGCAGATTCTGTAAGCTCTCAGGGGTTCTGAATCGTACACAAGGGATTCATAGATTAAGACTAAAATTAACAACGTAAGGCACAACACCCTTCTGTTATAATACATTAGTGTCTAATACATGTATTAGGCCACACCAACTAAATATGCTGGTTCTCGGATTTGCTTCTTCATTTTTTTCTGACTTGAAAAAAAAATTTGGCATTTGTTTCTTACCTTGACCCACCCGTGGTTGGGGAATCCCAGCAGAAAACGTGACGCTGCCAGCAGCAAGCAAGATAACAGTCACCAGACTGAAGGTCAGGCCAGTCTGAAAAAAATACAACAAAGGCTTATGAGTCCATCAGGCATTATTTATCAGTCTGTAACAGTACTTTAAAAAAAGATAAAAACCATCACTTCATAAGTGTCAATGCAGCAAATAAACCTGCATATGTAGGTGGTTACTGTTTTCATGCCTTGTTGAAATACTGTAACATGGAAAGTCGCTGATCAATCAGAACTAAACAGGTTCCCTTAATCTGACTTACAAAAATGTGCAAAAGTCATGTACCTTTCGTTCCATGCTTGAAGTCATCGTTGATCTGTCCTCTGTCCACTTCTGCAGGTACAGTAGTGTTCTACCTGTGCAGGTGGTACCACTTTTATAGCCTCAGCAAACATTTTTCTGTCGATACTTACAGGATAGAAGCTATGATAATCTTTATTCCTGTGGATTCAGAGTGCCGTTCTTCCTTTGCCCTTTTGACTTGTCAATATCTTCACCGGCAAAACAGATGCCCCTGTTTAAAGTTCATGTGACAGGAACATCTGTTGATTACTTTAGAGGTATCTATACATCATCCAAGGACATACTAATGTCCTTGGACCATCTAACTCTGCAGAACGTATGACCTTGAATATCTTAAACGTTTGCAGTCGTGCCGTACTTTGTTTGAGGTTTGTGTGACCCAGACACCTGCATCCTGGCCTGTGTGTCATGCTTTTTATAAGTACATGTAATTAATAATAATTCATAATACCAAGTGAAGTCAACATTTGTTGTACATCAACTGCAACGGGCACTATGGAAGGCAAAGTGTTGTATGAATTTGAAGTGTTGTATAAGACTACCTGCTAATTACATTAATTTAAAAGTTACCGTGGCCGACAAGAACAAAATTTTACACCGCAACTTTTGGTGTTTTACACCGCAACTTTTGGTATTTTACACCGCAACTTTTGGTGTTTTACACTGCAACTTTTGGTGTTTTACACTGCAACTTTGGGTGTTTTACACTGCAACTTTTGCTGTGTTTTACACTGCAACTTTTGCTGTGTGGAAAACTTACACCCCTCCCCTTTTATAATGGACGGTCCCCCTGTCAGGTCAAAGGTGACAACGATGGCATGCAAACTACATGTACGTCGACTGAGTTATCCTTTTCGTGCATACGTTTTTTAGAGGAAAAGCTTGGCTACGTTGTGACGTTAGTTTTTTTCTAAAGGTTTCTAGCTTTGGCCTATAGACCGGGATAAATTTAAAAATGTTTCGACCAGGTCCAGTGATTACAAATTATGTTGCTTTTTGCTGCCATGCGTCACAACAAATTTATCAAGGACGTCAGATATCCAGCTCCAGACATCAACAGCAATGACATAAATTTTCTGCAGGTTAGTTCATTATTATTGGGTATGGACATCGTTTTTCTTCATTTTAATGTCCCTAGACGTCAGCTTGTGACTTGCCGCCGCCATCTTTGTCACCTTTGACCTGACAGGGGGACCGTCCATTATAAAAGGGGAGGGGTGTAAGTTTTCCACACAGCAAAAGTTGCAGTATAAAACACAGCAAAAGTTGCAGTGTAAAACACCAAAAGTTGCAGTGTAAAACACCAAAAGTTGCAGTGTAAAACACAGCAAAAGTTGCAGTGTAAAACACAGCAAAAGTTGCAGTGTAAAACACAGCAAAAGTTGCAGTGTAAAACACAGCAAAAGTTGCAATGTCAAACACCCAAAGTTGCAGTGTAAAACACCAAAAGTTGCGGTGTAAAACATCAAAAGTTGTGGTGTAAAATTTTGTACTTGTCGGCCACGGTAAAAAGTAGACTTCAATCTACACAATCATCCTGCACTGCATTGGTCCAGTAGATTAGAGGAAAGAGGGTTGAACAGTCCTTGAAACTTGCAGCACAGTCAGGAAGGCAGTTCCCAGAAGAAGGCACACATAAAAACAATCATTATGTCATAATATTACAATGTATATAGTGTACCACATGGACCTTGCTAACTCAGATCAACAAAAACTGTTGAATTTTAACGCATTCATTGTCATATTAGAAAACTGTCTGTTAAGTAGACAAATATCAATCCTGAAAAATGATGTCAACACAGAAAATCTGAAGTTGTAAGCGCCAATGGCCAAGCTCCTAAGAAATGCTTACCGTGATAATTTGTTGTTGTTGTATTACCAGGGAGGCCACCCCCTACAGGAGAGATGTGTGTTGAAGTTGAGAGTGGAGAGGAACCTGGATGGAGAAATCAGTCATGATGGTAGGTATCGGTATCTAACTTTCTTTAATCTTTAAAAGGTAAAAGGTAGTCCTTTTATTGCGTTTTCGAGCAGAAAAGGTAGTCTTATAGCCTTTTAGAGCTGTAGGGGCAAAGTGTTGTTGACCTTGGGCATGGTATTGGAAGGTGGAGTCGATCCCTCTCCTATAAGGCTTCTACCACTTTTACCTAGTCCCCAACTGAAATCAGGTAGTACCTATTTTACACTGGAGTGGAGTGAGGAAAGTTGTGCCACAATGTCTAGCCAGGAATGCCAGGGTTCAAACCCAAGGTGTCTCAAACTCAAGTCTGCTAGCTTTAGCCTTGGGCCTTTTGATGCCAACTTAATTTTTTTGACTGCATAGAAAAACGTCTACAATATGGCCAGGAATGCAAGAAGTTGTCTATATATTTTCATTACTGACATGTACAAATGTATAATAGTTACCTCTAAATGTTCCCTACAGTTCCAGACTTCAATGTGCTGGGGATGCTGTCCTCTGTGTACTGTTCCCTGGACCTGAACCAGTACCAGCTGGTGAGAGGTATCCTGCACTGTAACCTGGGAGAACCGCTCGAGGAGTTTGAGAGACCGCCGACTGCCACACAGGAACCTTCAATACAGGTGAGTGTCAGAGAGATTTATTGAAGACAGGAAATGAACCTGTTCTGGGACCTTTGACCTAACACCCTGTCACTGTCCCTGACATACATTGCACCTAGCTAGCATGTGAAAATACACAGTAACAGTTAAAACAGAAACACAGGCTAACACAGAGACAGACATACTGGAAAACTATCATGATAACCTGTACTTGGTAATCAGATATCATCAAATGATATTTGGCTTTCAAAACGTTGACTTAGGCCTGGCTACTACACTGCTGTCCCATGCACAACAGGACAAGCTGGCTCAGTCCCTCACAAGGTTTCACCATACAAATTTTAACTTCTGTGTTCTCCCTGTTCCAGACTGTACTGAGTGGTAATGTATGGACAGGCATGTCCATCCACATTGACCTTGTGAATGTCAGTATGGAGCTGCTCCTGGCCCATGCCCAGCAGGACAAGCCTGCGCAGTCCCTCGCCAGGTTTGAGTTTATCCGCTCCAAACTGTCCTACGAGAGCTTCTCCGACCAGTCCAAGGACGTGGATCTCGTTTCCCACGCCATCGTGGCCCGCGACACAAGGTTCAAAGGTCAGGTTTTTTACCTTTTACTCTCTGCGTAACCCTGAAACTACCTGTAATACCAATTTTGTGCTAAAAGGTTATTTCAGCAGTGAGATGGTTGAATTCTGTTGGCATAGGATGACATTTTTTTCAAGCTATGTAATATTATGGTCAAGATTTTCTGAGTGGTAATTTTTTAACGTAAATGCTTATAGAAATAGATACATAATAGAATCATAAAAATTTGTTTTTCATAGAAATCCATGTTACAGGCAGGCTGAAGCACAAAGCAAACGCACAGTCACACACACACACACACACACACTAAACAAAATTTGTTGTATTAAGGCACCAGTTTAGGAGTTGTCCACATTCCATCTTCTTTCTTATATTTAATTATCTATAGCCTAGTCTTGAAATTTACCAAAATCATTTACGTTTTTTTCCCATTTTCCCCACAGACCAGCCTGCAAACCTGCGTCCCAACGTGTTTGAGCAGGTCCTGGAGCCCTCGCTGCAGTACCACCAGCAGGGGGCGCTTCAGATGGAGCTGCACTACCGCTCCACACAGGACTTCACGCGCTTCACCGTCCTGCTCAACAACATGCGCCTCATGGTCGTCTTCGATTGGCTGTCAGCCGTCAAGGACTTCTTACTCACTGATCACCAGGAACAGGGAGGTATGTACAAAAATGTAGTTTTACGCCATATCATGTAGCATTAGCCAATGAGACTGCAGCATGAGTCTAGCACTGGCCAATCAGGAAGTAGATTGCACAACATGTGCCTCATTGTCATCTTTGATTGGCTCTCAGCTGTCAAGGACTGCCTGATCGCTTATCACCAAGAAGAACGGGAACTGAGGCAAACACGTCTGCAGAACATACCGCACCTGCATGAAACCCATAATGTATTGTGCTTACATTGTACATGTACATGTAGCACTTAGGCAGAACATCTCGATTAATGTCATATTCGTGTATTATAAGAATGACACTCCATTTCTAGTTTTTAAAAGTACATATTGACTGTATTGTCAGTATTGTCTGCTACAGTTTTTTACCAGTATCTGGGATCAACACTAGAGGAAACTTTTAATAGAGTCTGACCTGACATAGACATCTTGCTTTTTCCACAGAAGAGCCCCATACGACAGATGACTTCCACCCCCCCAGTCCCCAGCCCCCCCAGCCTGTGAACGTGACCCAGGGGGTGGTGACCAAGCGAGGCCCCCCTCCCAAACCTGAACCCTCCATGACGGAGATCAAACTCAACGTCACCCAGACAGAGTTTGTGGTGGTGGAGAGCACTGCATCCTGGGACACCAATGCCATTATCTTGAAGGTAATAATTATGGTTAATATGTCTCCTCTCACAGAAGGAAAACATCAATTTTGCTCTGTTTCTTCTTCTTCAAACATTGAAGGTCAATGACCTGGACCAGACATCTGTCACCATAGTAACTGGTGCTATAGCGTACACGCTGTGGTGTAGGGTTACATTATGTAGCAAGTGGCAGAAGAGAGTTGGAGGAGCTGGTATGTAATGAATGTTTGTGTAAGAATAAACAGAGCAGTAGTTTGTTTGGCTAGACTATGTGAAGGTAAACATTATGCATATGTAAGTTTCCAGTTTCTTGTTCATCTGATCTTGTAACTCTCAAGCATTTTGATCTGACGTTATTTGTCCATCTTGCCCCCCCCCCTCCCAGTCCACTGCAGTGCTGACCTACCGACCCCAGATGATCGCCCGTCCTGTCTCCTGCAGCCTCCAGAGTCTCGAGGTCTTCTCCTGTCAGCTGGGCAACGAACAGGACACTGCACTGTCCATCATCGACCCACTTACTGTCAACATCGAGCTCAAACCCAGCGCCAACCAGCCCCAGGCAGGGGGACTGTTAGATGCTACTGCACTGCCAGACCTTCCTCCTATGTTAGAGGTATGACATAATATATTTACAGCACACTGGTATAACATTCTGTGACTGCTCAAATAGGTTTCTTTGTATGTTTTGGTCAACGTTTCATCAGAATTTTGCCCATTTTTCGCAGAATTTTGCGGACAATGTCTTTTCCGACAAGACATTTGGAAAATATAGCTGAGGTGTCATCCTTAAATATGCGAATACGACCTTACAAAATTTATGTAAATGAAACATTCTGCCAAAGTCCTATGCACAATACATTATGGGTTTCACACAGGTGCAGTATGTTCTGCCTACGTGCTAGTAAGTATCACAAGAATTTAGATGCTAGGGAATTTACTGTTTTCAATATTTGCATTGTACATAAATATACATGCATATGGTACATGACTACATTATTTGATTGACTTATTGATACTGTAACAGTAACAGTACAATACATGTGGGATCAAGGCAGCTGTTGCTGGTGTTGTGTCACACACATAGAAACAAATACAGGACAGACAATACTCTTTTTCACTTGAGTTAATTGAGGAAAGTCATTTAAAGTGCCTTTCCTAAGAGCACATTCAGTGGCATGTCAGGACTCGAACCCGGGACCTCTTGGTTCTAAGTCGAGCACTCTGATGTTATGCCACCGACCTCACACTAATCCACTATGATCTACTTCAGTACATGTTAATAGTTTGATTACCTTGACCCCCCAGGTGGTATTTCACACCACGGTGGCATGCCACAAGATTGGTGGCATGTCGGGACTCGAACCCAGGACCTCTTGTTTCCGAGTTGAGCACACTAATCTACTATCTACAACTTTAAA